ATTGGGAACAGTGGCTTGTAAGAACGGTATCTTTGGTGCTGAAGCGCCTCAGTGTAAAACCGAGAAAGGCCTCGAAATTGAGACTTGCTATCTTTGCTGGATAATGAAGAGCTCGAAAAATGTGCATTCATTTTGTCGGGTAGTAGAAAGTGTAACTTGCATGGACTATGCCAGCTCTGCTTACTTGCTGGATGGTGGAGTGGGATTGTTGTTTTGCTGGCCCACTTCGTTCGGTTCGATTTTTCTTCTTTTGGCAGCGACCACATTTATTTCGGCACTCTTTATCTCCAGCTTCACTTTTAACAGTTTCAGTTCCATCTTCTTCACTTCCAGCTCCTTCCGGGCAATCTCCAGACGTAGCTGTCTCTCTTCTCGCGTTAACTGTTTCAAACGCAGTGCCTGCTCTGCTTCGTCGTAAACATCTGCTTGCGTTTGCGGCTCCTCACATTCAGTAGAAGCTTCTGTTCTGAATATAGCGGCATTTCCACAGAGCAACAGTTTTTATGCGTTTTTTGCAGCTGTGCAATGCAGAAAACGCATACTGACGAGGGGTTGTCTGTGAGTCCGTGTCTGTCACGGTTTTTCATCTCAAGACCTACAAAAGCTACAGGGCTGAAACTTTGGGAACGTAATCTACACGTACGTACGGGCCCCAACCCCAAAAATGGGCGCCATTACCCGCGTGGTACTCGCATGCGGGCCCGCCAAAGTTTTTTCGGGTAAGTTCATAACTCAGGGATCTGAGAAATTAGAAAGCTGAAATCTTAGGGGGATGTTCGCCGTCCAAGTGGGTATTAGTGAGGTCAAAATAGCCCCCGGGTAAGCATGGTACCCGCGTACGGGCCCGCCAAAATTTTTTTCGGATAAGTTCATAACTCGGGGATCTGAGAAGCTAGAAAGTTGAAATCTTAGGGGATGTTCCTCGTACAAGTGGATATTAGTGAGGTCAAAACTAGCCCCCGGGTAAGCATGGTACCTGTGTACGAGCTCGCCAAAATTTTTTTCGGGTGAGTTCATAACTCGGGGATCTGAGAAGCTAGAGGACTGTAATTTTAAGAGGATATACCCCGTCCACCTAAGTTTCATTCAGATCAAACCTAACTCTCGGGTATGCGTGGTAAACACGCAGGCCCGTGAAAATTTTTTTCCAGTAAGTTGCTAACTCAGGAGCCAGAGAAGTTAGAAAGCTGAAATTTTAAGGGGGTGTTTTCTGACAGTTCTGGCGGCCAGTCTTAATTTGTTTAGC